TGATGGATCCGCTGCAGCCTGGCCGGTCCGACGCTGTCCAGCCACAGCCGCCGCCCTCCGAGCAAACCCCAGGCAAGCCTTGCAAGCAAAGGGGCTGACTCGCGGACACACTGTACAGCACGAAGGCGAGGCGGGAGGGGTGGGGGGCGGAGTGAGTACTCGCCTTGAACTAAACTCTGGCGTGCGTCAGCAGCGTTAGCCCATTGTGCAGGTGTCACCCGCCTGTCTCCGGGCGTCACTTTAGTTAAAACACGACGTGGCGACACGGCGAGCGCGCCCCGCCGACAGACAGACAGACAGACAGACAGACAGACAGACAGACAGACAGACGGACAGAAAGGCCGACTCAAAGGTAATGAATGGAGTGCGCGCGAACTAACACCCTCGTGACACGACGCGCCGCCTCTTTCTCCTTATTGTCTGCACTCGCATATACGCCCCTCCCTCTCGCTCTTTCTCCCTCCATCTCTCTTTAAAACACACACACGCACTCACCATTGGGGCTCTACTATAAACTAGGCTGAGGACACACAGACACACTCGCACACTGTAAATTGCATAGTAATGGGAGCCGCTGCTCCATTTGCTTTCCACCATACGCGCGACAAGGGCGGCGTTTCTTTGAGGAGGCGTTTCATCCGCGGCTTTCTTTCGCTCTCTCTCTCTCTCTCTCTCTCTCCCGTCAAATCGCATCTCGGCGTGACAGGCTCGGCCGTTTTTTGGTGCGCTCTGGCAGGCCTCCCTTCCCCACTGCAAGGCGGTGGCGTGGCCGCGGGGCCGCGTGGGGCCCTCCCCCCTTGCTTGTGGGAATTCTGGGAAAAGCAGCAGGAATCGAGATGAACCGCTGCACCCGCACCGCCGACCGGCCAAAGGGAAGACCGACACGCCCCTAAAAAAACCAGCCAAAAAAAAACCCTCAAAAACAACAACAACAAAATGTGTGGGCGGCGCTGCCATAAACCTTCCGCGATGCGTATCGTCATGCAGCGAGTGCGCGGCGCGGACTGCAAACGCCAAAACAAGCAACAAAAACAAAAGACGGGAAAAGAGGAGCCTCGTCAGCTAATCACAAGGAGGGCATCACTGCCATCGACCGCCAGGGCGGCCAGGGCGGCCAGAGCCTCCTAATCGGCATGGCGGCCGCGTGGCGGTCTCGGGGCGGTGCCGCGGGCCACGCCGGGCAGTGCCACGCCGGGCAGTGCCACGCCGGGCAGTGCCACGCCGGGCAGTGCCACGCCGGGCAGTGCCACGCCGCGCCGACGATGGCGATGGCGGTGTGAAACTGGTCATGATCGAATTAACGTCGACCGGCACGCCACCCCACCGCAAGTCTCGTGCCACCGGGCCGAGCCGGGCCGAGTCGGGGTCACGCCGGGGTCAATAATATCCGCCATTCGGCGCCCGAGTGGCGTCGATTAGCGTCATTACTGTCGCCTTTTAAGGCGACATTAGTCACCCGACGAGAAGAAAAAACTCAAACAAACCCCAAAATCGCCACTTTTTGTACAAAACATTTCCATTGACTTTAACGTTAATTTTTTCTAACAGCAAATTATTTTTAACGCCAATTTGTTTCTTTGCAACGCCATTTTTTTTTTGACACCAAGCGTCTTTTTTTTTCAACCAACTTTTTTTTAATAACAAATTTTTTTTTACAGTGCCTCTTACGGGGGCGCGTTGACGACGCATCTTACGCACGCGCGGTGTCATGCATCACACTGCAAAATTCAGCGCGCCTTGAATATTGCAGGCAAATGACGCGGTGGCGGTGGTCCGTGCGCCCCAACGCACGCTGCTCATACGGTCCAGCCTCGCAGGTTAACGTCGCCGCACCGGAAAAAGAGGGGGGAGGAAGGGGGGAGAAGGGGGAGAAGGGGGGAGAAGGGGAGGGGACGATTTGGAGTGGGTCGAAAAGCGCGCCGAACGTTGTCTGCCAAACGTGTCGATATGCGCTTTTTGTCTTTGAAAAATGGAGAAAATCGGAGAAAATTGGTGAAAACGGTCCGGCTGTCTGGCCGCGCCACTGCTCCGTTCTGGGACGGAAAAGAAAACAAGCCCAGCCCATTCCATGGAGGTCCTTCCCGATTTAGAAACAGGTGGTCCGTTGAGCACCAAACTCTTTCCTCTTTTTTTTTCGCCCTCCCTTCGCTATGCAGTCGAGATACCCACTCGGCGATACGCGCTATTTTGTTGTCCTTTTCTATATGCATAGCCGGACGGACACGGAATCCAGCCCTGCCTGCAAGATCTGAGCGACAAGGGAGAGGGGGGGGGGGGCACCGCCTGCGCTTTCAACAACACCACACTTGTTGTTGTTGTTGTTGTTTCAGGGCAAACCAACAGTATGCAATAAGAGGGTACGCTCGCCCGTGAGATTTTACCGAGAAAAGGCCTGACAATTTGCTGAGGCGAAATGCGGACGGACGGACGGACAGACAGACAGACAGACAGACAGACAGACAGACAGACAGACAGACAGACCCCCGGGACGAACTATAAACGCGGCAGGTCCGCCGCCATCTTTTCTTCCGCGGTCCTCGACGGAGTGAAGTGCGGCGAACGCAGCAAACTCTGTTACAAATAGCCATCCAGGACGCCGGGTGGCGCGGGGCGGCGCAGGGCGGCGCAGGGCCCCAGCCGCAGGCTAAGGACGCGTCCTGCAAAACTTACGCCGGCGGCGCAACTTGAGCCGCGAGTTGCGCCGCTTTGCGCCGCTTTGGGCGCGCAGCCAGAGCAATGGCAGCAATGAGGAAAAAGGGGTAAGTTTGACGCGGGAAACCGTCTGCTATAATTGTTTCGGATGCGATGTTCCAGTCCGGAGCGAGCCAGTGGCGGATCCCGGATACGGCCTAGGGGGGTGGTGGTCAAATTAGCACTTTTTGCCTACTTACAGGGGCAAAGTGTTGCTTTTTTGCCTACCTTTCAGGCGGCTATCTAGGGGTCAAGGGAGGGGCAATTGTCCCTCTGGATCCGCACTGAACCTTCCCAACGACGCGAAATGAGGCTTCCGTCTCTCTCGCTCTCACGGCGCGTCCCGTCGGTCCCGGAGGTCCCGCGGGGGAGCGAGAGAGACAGAGCACCAGCTGGCGGAGCGCGACGACGGAAAAAGAGTCGCTTCGCACACTTAAAACTCTACAAAGAAATGCTTCTTGCAGCCTGCGAAGGATTTTTCCTTTGTATTACAAAGAAAATCGTTCGTATTACAAACGATCGGAAACTAGACTCTCTGAGACGGCGAAGGCATGGCAGTGTCGCGACAGCGTAACGAGCGAAAAGGTACAGAGGCAAGGCACGCACACTGGCGGAGAGCGATTGGTGGCCGATGACGTCACAGCGTCACTGCAGCCTCGGCGACCGCTCCACTCTAGCCGCGCTGGAGTCAAGTCCGGGAGTCCGCCTCGTCACAATGGAGCGTCTCTCGACGGACACATCGAGTCCCGCAGAGCGACGACCAGGACGTTCGAACCGGCGACGCTACACTGCTCGACCCAATTTTAACGTTTTCGCCGAGAAATACGACAAACAAAATAATTCGGTTTTCGTGCTGGCTGCTAAAACCCTGCAAATTGAGTCTCGCAGCAGCGACCCCGGCCGCTCCCCAAAGACCAACCCCATTCAAGGGCGCCGAGGCCGAGCCTTGCCGCGCCAGCCAGGCCGCTGCGCCAAAAGGCCCGCAAAGATGGCGAAATGATTAACAAGTTTGCCTTTGAGGCGTGGCCACTTCACGCTCTCCATTTTTAAACCCATTCGGGGGGCCGCAATTAGCCCGCCAGCCTGCCTGCCAGTGCCTGCTGCCGCCTCTGCGTGGGCGGCGCGCGCAGCTCCGGATGAAGCAGACCGTCCGACCATCAAAAATTCATTTTCGTCGCGCCGTGTATTGCGGGCGGCTCACTCCGCCGTGCCTGGCAGTGCTTTTCGCAGCCGGCCGAGCCCAGGTGGCCGTCGTCACACCTGGGGTGGGACGCGGCGACCGCGACCTCGGCCACGTCGTGCACCAGCAGCACCGCCAGCACCGCCAGCACCGCCACGATCAAAGTTTCACCCGCACGGAGGCAGCGCAGGGGAGCAGACAGGCACGGCGACGCGGCCTCGCCCGGCTGCCAGCCAGCCAGCCAGCCAGCCAGCCAGCGACAACGCTCGTCCGCGCTCGTCTCGTCTCGTCACCGGCGTCGCCGGCGAGGCGGCGCGGGACGCGCACGGCGACGGGCGGGCACGCCGATCCCGAGACGGCGGTGTGTCTCTCTCGCACCGCCAGCAGCGTCACACGAGTGCGAGAGAGACAGACCTCCCGCTCGGACTCGGCCTGCCGGTGCCTGCCGGTGCACCGGGCCCGGACGGCCGGGACGGGGACGCCGCCCCTACTGGAAATTTCGCACTGTGCCGGAACACGCAGTCCCAGCGGGGGCGTCGGGCCGCGTCTGGACGAACGGGCCGACGGACGGGCGGGCAGAATGCAGGCCAGTTACGGACGAGGGTTTATGAGTGACGGGATGGACACGGACAGCCAGCCCCGCTGTCCCGCGCTATTTCCTCGTACAGCGCTCCCTGCCATGTCCACTTTTTCCGCCGCCAATCGCCGCCAAGTTCGACACGTCAAACAACAACAACAACGCAGAGCGCGAGGTGGTTTTCGTTTGTTTACATTCGGGGTCTGCTTGAGGGCGAAATGAGTGCGCTTCCGTAACGACAGCCCGGGTGCGCGCGGAAGGGCACGAATGGCCGCTACACTGCCACTTAGAGCTCTTAAAAACCCGGACCGTGGGTACCCGGGTCGCCCGGGTAAGACCCGGGTCTGCGGGTTTACCCGAAGCCTTGGATCCACCGCCCTAGAAGTAGGCAACACGGCCCACTGGAGCGCACTGCGTGTTGCCTACTGCCAGGGCGGTGGATCCAAGGCTCCGGGGACCCGGGTCTACCCGCAGACCCGGTCCAACCCGGGCGGGCGGGTAACCGGGTAACCCGGGTACCCGGGCAAAAGTCAGAGCCCTACTGCCACTCACCGAGTCCGACGAGAAGCGAGAAATCCGGCCCGGTCGGCCCGGGTCTGCCGACGACGAGGTCCTCTAGTCCGCCGGTCTGTTGCCACTATTCCCGCTCGCAGGGCACACGAGCAACAACACAATCAGTGATTGCCGTCAATCACAATCACCTTTTTTGGCACCATCACTTTCACTGCACAATCACAACACCACGCGCGCGCGCGCCGGCAGCGCGTCGGGACGGCCGGCGGCGGCTCTGAGCATCCTGACCACGACACTGTACTCCGCGGGGCTGGGGGCGGCGAGCGCGGCGGGCACGGCGAGGACGTCGGTGAGGTTGGTGGCGGGGAGGGTCGCTTCGGCCCGGCGTAAGGCAACTCGACGCGGCGCGACGCGGGACGGGGCCGGGCGAGGCGAGACGCGACGGCCGACCGAACGGAACCACTGCCGGGCAGAGACTGGAGAGTGGCGTTGGTCGCGGCCGCTCGCCCCGCCCCCCGCCCGCGCCGCTCCCCCTCCCCTCTCCTCCGGCCCCTTCGCCTGCCGTCGCCGAGCGAGGGAATGAAGGGGAGGGGAGGGGACAGGAGGATGCGGCCTTGCCGGCGGCACGGCACAGCGATGCTGTGAGCACATCACCTGAACTATCACCGAATGAGTGAATGAATGGACCGGTGTTCATTCATTCAACCAATCGATGTCCATTTATTGCACCGATGAATGAATGCACGGACCTACGAATGAATGAATGAATGAATGAATGAATGAATGAATGAATGAATGAATGAATGAATGAATGAATGAATGAATGAATGAATGAATGAATGAATGAATGAATGAATGCACGATCCACCTTGAACAAATGAAAAGCGCAATAGGGACGTAAATGAAAATCATCCTTCGTAATGCATGGTATCTTTTCCCGTCGCACACTCGTTTGCTCGGCGAGGGAATGCCCATCGAGATCGAGGACCGAGAGGCGGTGGGGGCAACGGCCAGGCACGGCACCAGCCTAATGACTCTCTCACGTAGTTCCTCCTCGCGCCGCGGGGGGCGCCATTTTTCTGGTGGTCAAACAATTAGTGGCACTAATGGCAGGGGTCAAGTAAACACGGTACCCGCGGTACCCGCTGCCTCTCTAGCGCAGCGTGCCGCCGGTACGCCCAGGAAAGGTCCCAGGGGAGGCGCGAACCACACGCTATTTTTGTTTACAGAGGATCTTTCGAAACATCCATCAAAATTACGAATACATCACATGGGAATTCCGGTCCCCAGCGGTTTAAAATGTGTTCCCGATCGGGCCTGTGGTCGCGCTGGTGGTGCGATAGTTGTTTGTTCATGCAGGCCCCCGTCCGCGCCCAGGCCCGAGGACTGATAAATCGACCGACCGGATCCCGAACGGGCCGAAAGGGCGCGCCCGGCGTCGTTTTTAATAATTGTGGATGGCCGAGGGCCGAGGCCGAGGAGGAGACTGGAAGAAAGGTCCTGCAGGATCGCGTCAAGAAATAATGACGCGTTGCTGTTTTGTTTGCGTTGGAGAGAGAAAAGAAGAGAAGAGGGAAGGCCGGGCAGTAATTACAACCGCAAACTTTGGCGAATGGTAACCGAAAGGCCGAAACTTGGCCGCGGCTCCGCTGCCAACTCGGGGGGGAAAGTAGTGGATTTGACGAAGATGGAACACCCGCGGATCGGGGCTGCACTCGGCGCGCTGATTCTGTTATCAGCGAAGACCGAGAAGGACTGGCCAGCGGCACGGTGTGTCACCGCCACGGCCAGAGCTCATACTCTCCATCACGATAGTACGTCATTTCACATATTCTGACCATTAAATGTTTACGGAGGTGGCGTGCGAAAGTGCCCCGCACTGTGCCACCGAGGTGCCACGCGAGTCCGGACGCGGCCTCGGGACTGTGCCTGATTGACACAGCACCACCGCCTTCGCCACTTTAGCGAGACCTCGATGTGTGAACCGACTGGACGGAATGAGGTCGCACTCTAGGTTACCCACCTAATTGCTTGATGCATAATAAAACAGTGTCACTGTTAACCGCGGAACAAACTATTCTCAGTGGTCTGCTTCTTTTCACGAGCCTTACCCACACCCCAAGTGAACAATGATTCCCCGTGGATTTTTTGCAGTCCGTGACTGACCCTCCAAAGGTCAACAGCGACGGTCGCTTTCGGTGCATCGCGTGTCCGGGCTGTGCTGCCTCCGTCCTGCGGCATGTCAAACAGAGGCCGCGCCACTGGGAGGGAGGGGCCGCACAATTGGTCCTGAGTGCAGCCACTCAGTGCGCGCATCAAGGAATCAGGGCCGGCCGTGTGGATTTCCCCGGCCTGAACAGAGGTTTACTCGATTTGCTGCGCCTTGCACGTTATTCGCACCTGGCGCTCCGAGCGGTGGCTGCTTGAAGCGCGAAATAAAAACTCTGGATGGCGGTGCTCACAGGCCCGGCCGATTCGATTGGCTGTCGAGGCACGCAGCGGAAAACAACGCAGCAAGTTCAAGGGTGGAACGCCGTCGCTTTGAGGTTATGGGACGCCGCGCGCTGCGCGCCGCGGCAGAACGGCGACGCAGACGCCGGCCGCGTATATCGCCAACTGTCTGCTCGTTGGTTTGGCCCGGTGTTCGATCTGCAGGAGGTTGGGCCCCAGGTGCGCTGGTGTGTGGCGAAGGGCTCTTCTGGTCCTCGGCGTCCTTGACGTCCTTGACGCCCTTGACGTGCACCCCGCAGCGTGATGGACACGGAAGCGCGCCCTACCCGGTCCTGCCGCCGGCTAACTAGAAACATTGTTGTGCCGTGCGATGCAGGCCCGTGCAGGCGTGTGCTCTGTCTCTCCCGCACCGGCACGGGGTGCCCTATGAAAGCGAGAGAGACAGAGAGTTCGGAATCGAGCCGCAGGGCCGTCATGGAAATGAGAACGCATCGGCTGGGCCGGGCGGCGGGGCGGCCGGGCTTGGCAGTCAGGCCCCCTGCAACGCGCACCGCACTGCAGTGTACACACACACCCCTCGCCACGTTCGTCGGGAAGCTCATGTCGAAAATACATCAACGTCAAAAAGGAAAAAGAAATAGATCGAATCGATTGAAGCTCTCGGCGCTAGTCAGTGCCTAATATTTTCGAAGCGTCATTTTGTGGCTGGGCAGGAGACCAAAATTTTTGTGACCTCACCGTTTATCGGCCAACCGATAATCCGACCCAGAGAACAGGCTTTCCCGGGTACACACTACTTCATTTAGCGTATTGACTCGCGCCGGTTTACATTTCATATTTGCGTCGCCTCCATCACGTTGTTTACCGGGCAGGAAAATCGGCGCCACCCGTCGATATTTTGGCCGCCGTTTCTCCGCCGTTTGGCCGCCGTTCATTAAAAGTCGCCCCTTTGAAGTGTCCCGGGGCTGAAATTTCATCGCGGGCCGTCGCGGGGCGTCGCGGCCCGAATCGAGGTGAAGGCAAAGGTATCCAGGAAAAGAGCAGGCGGGCGGCCGCGGCTGAGGCGAGAGCAAGTTTGATGAGGCCAGCACCCCGGCGATCGTGTGAGTGTCAGAAAGGGGGGGGGGGATTTGGCCGGGGAAAGGGGAAACTCCTGGTAAGCCTCCTGCTGTTCATCAAGCTCCATGATATGGCTTTTAAAGCGCATTACCCGGCCTTGGCTTAGTTGGAACGACTTTTCGGCACCGGTCAAAAGCCGGAGGAGACTCCTATGGGTCCTGCACATTTTACGGCGGTCAAATGTCGGAGACCACGTTCATCTTTTTCCATCGCTTAGTTCAATAGGTGTGCGAAAAACACTTCTTTTGTAAGTGTGGAGATTTCTGTGATTGTTTTGCAACGACGGCCCCTTTTTTCACACATGGGTAGTGCCCCTTTCCACGGGGCAAAGACGCCCTTTTTATCAAAGCCCGAAATGACTTCCAACTGTTGTTGGCCGGCCATCCAGCCCCTTTCACGCCCCCACACTGCCCCCTCGCCGCCCATCACTCGGGCCCCACATGGGCCCAGTGGCGGGCGCAAGGCGGGCGCGGCACGGCCCGGGCTTCGCAATCCACGGGGCGGCCACGGCTCTAAACACCACTCATTCCCTGCAAGAATGGGTCATCTGTTGAGAACGGCCGCGCGGGGCCCTGCAGCCCAGCCAGACAAGGGTCTTTGTCTCCCAGAACTACACCTGTTTAATGTGGGGCACAGACGGTGCGCCAAGGGGGCGCCCTGGCCACCCTGCCCGGGAGGGGGCAGTGGGAGAGCCATTTACAGCACCTGCAGACGACGTACCCCATGAAGCTACTCAGCCCGACGGCTTGCTGGCGTCAGACTATTGGATTCGCCATCTGTCATCGAGGCCCGCGTTTTATACGAGTCTTCCGGAGGGGTCGGTAACTGGCCGAGCACCTTGGGTTCCATTTCGAAAAAGGGTCAAAGCGAGAAGAAGAAAAGTCACCTTTATTTGGCGCAGTGTGTCGAGCTCCTTTCCGTGTGATAGTGTGATAGTTCATACTCTCTAACGAAGCGCCTCATTGGGCGAGGCTGCGCTGCGCATTCAGCCAGCGGCCCTTTTCAGCCCCGGCAGTGCGTGGGAGGCAGGGGGGGGGAGAGAGAGAGAGAGAGAGAGAGAGCGCACGCGGTGTCCAGCATACCAATGGCCTAAATCAATTAAAACACATTTACAGTGGCGATCCAGCTGCAGTGCGGCGATCGGGCCCTGCCGGGCTAGTCCGTGGGGGTCTCCAGCCGTGGGGTCTTGTCTTCGGGCGGCGAGAGGCCGGGTCGGCCGGGTCGGCCAGGTACGCCTGAGGCTGCGGGGCGGGGGGCGAGCGCCTCGGAGCTGCTTTGGCTAATCCAGGACGACCTTGACTGAGAACGGGAGGGCCTTGCTCCCGAATCAATAGAAAACTGGGAATTTCAGGGCCGTCCTCCGTCCTTGGTTCTTCGTCCTTTTCTCGAATGGAGTCGGCGGACCACAAAGGGAGCTCGCGCCAGCGCGAGGAAAGTCTGTCTGATTTGAGAATACGCCAGCAATCCACTCGGAGTCTCAAGGCTGGCCTTCACCAATCAGCCCGGGCTAACAGCTCTCCTTCGGCGCGCGCGTATCAGGATAATTATTTTCCGCTTCTTTTCTCGTTGCCCCTCCGTTTGCACGGACTGCGCGGGAGCAGGCTTGGCACAGTGTCGCGCTGGTTCATCGCGCCGACACTGTAGAGGATGAATGGCGAGTCGGAAAAGCCGGACAGGTTCAATTTGCACATCGCAAACGAAGAGGGATGCACTGTGG